GAAAGAAAGAAAGAAAGAAAGAAAGAAAGAAAGAAAGAAAGAAAGAAGGAAAGAAAGAAAGAAAGAAAGAGAGAAAGAAAGAAAGAAAGAAAGAAGGAAGGAAGGAAGGAAGGAAGGAAGGAAGGAAGGAAGGAAGGAAAGAAAGAAAGGGAAAAGAAACCTTTCAAAGTACAGAAGCTCCCAGCATATCTCAGACTCGCAGCACCCATCAGGAAGTTGGCAAGGCACTTTTGAGGGAACGTCAACTTTATCTCCTATCCCAAGACACACTAGACCTAACTCAAACCAGATACAGTGTACTGGGGAAGTGGGGCGGGGGGGAAGGGAGGGAGAAGGGGTGCGCTATATATATATCCTGTAGTCAAAGGCAGTAAGATGCAGTCATCACCTTCTAGCCCAGATGGAGGAAATTCATTTGTCTCTTTCTTGATAACATGTAAAGTGCTTTGCAAACCTTCAGGTGCTACATTAATGCTATTAGCTATTATTACTCTGGGAAGGCAGTAAAGTTATCTATTTTCAAAGTTGTTTTAAAGCACAAAAACATTGGGGAAAAAGGAAAATGGAAATTTTGGCAAGAAAAAACTGCTAAAATGAAAATGCCTTTATGTGTGACCTCTTTGAGGTTCACAGTAGTATTTATGAAGCTAAAGCCTGAAGTCAGAATCACAACAGAGCTTTCAATTTTCTTACCCTCAATACCAATTCGGATATTTTTTAGTCCCCGTTCTTTCAATACGGTTTTTGCAACGTCCCGGTTCTCAATGTATTTGAAGAATCTGTAGAGCTTGGAGCTATAAAGAACTAGAAAGAGAAAACCAGGGGTTAATAATGGGGAAAGGGAGGCTTCCAGGGACATCCCTCCTGCCCTGCTCCTGTTAGGTGGTAAGCTATCAGAGAACTGCGTCTCTGTTAGGTCTCTTTTTGTAGTCTCTCTAATCTCTATATTTCACATGGCTGTGAATCATGAAACACCCTATCTCCAAATTAGAGAAATGGCATGTGACCCAAAAGTAAATGAAAAAGACAGATGGTAGGGATCAGTAGACAGCATTATATTACCAGTATGACTTGCATATAATTAGTTGGACAGGACTAAACAACAATAGTGATATGGAAGATAAGAAAGGACATACGTATGGAAAGGAGGTAAGCTTGTCGTATCGCAAAGGATAACATAGACAGTCTCAGTGCTTTCCACAGAATCTGTTTTTTTATTTTATTGATATTTCTTGCTTTTTGAAAATAATTTCTCCCAGTATCTGCTCCCTTCCTTCCCCTTCCCGGAGAGCCATCCCACTTAGCAAATAGTATTTTTTCTTTTAAATAGTACTTTATTTTTTCCAATTACATGTAAAGACAATTTTAAACATTAATTTTTAAATAAAATTTTGAGTTCCAAAATTTCTCCTTCCCTCTTTCTCTAAAACAGTAAGCAATTTGATGTAGGTTATATATGTGCAATCATGTAAAACATATTTCCATATTAGTCATGTTGTATAAGAAGAAACAGAATAAAAGGAAAAAAACTATGAAAAAATAAAGAAAGAGAAATAGTATGCTTCAGTCTGCATTCAGACTTCAAAGTTCTTTCTCTGATGTGGATAGCATTTTCCATCATGGGTCTTTTGGAATTGTCTTGGATCACTGTATTGCTGAGAAGAGCTAAGTTAATCATAGTTGATCATCCCACAATGCTGTTGCTATTGCGTACATTGTTCTCCTGGTTCTGCTCACTTCACTTTGAATCAGTTCATGTGAGTCTTTCCAGGTTTTTTTGAAATCTGCCTGTTAAAGCACTTCTTAAAGCACAATAGTTCATTATATTCATATACCACAACTTGTTCAGTCATTCCCCAATTGATGGGCATCATTTGCTTTCAATTTCCAATTCTTCGCTACAAATAATTTTTTTTTAATTAGGCAATGGGGTTAAGTGACTTGCCCAGGGTCACACAGCTAGTAAGTGTTATGTGTCTGAGGCTGGATTTGAACTCAGGTCCTCCTGAATCCAGGGCCAGAGCTCTATCCACTGCGCCGCCTAACTGCCCCTTACAAATAATATTTTTAAAGAAAAAGAAGAAAAAAACTGAGCAAGACCCATCAATATATGGAAAAAGTCTGAAAGAAAGAACAATATTCCACCCTGCATGTCCCTCACCTCTGCAGAAGAGAAGAGTAGAAGTCTTCTCAATACTTTTGGGGGATTTTCCATAGAATATTAAAAGACCTAAAGGAAGGCCTCCAATATGTTGGTAAAAATCTCTTAAGAAGGACTAGTGGAAGGAATTAGATGACAATTACCCAGAATGAGAAGACATGGATGGACTATACTCCATGCTGGTGGAAGTTTGCATATAGCAGTGTGTGTAAAAACACCAGTGAAATCACAGCTCCATTGAACTATGTAAGTCTGCCTATGTTTTTTGTTTACTGTTTAAGAGATATTCTTTTAGGAGTGCAGACTTACACCAAAGTGACCCATATCATTCAGATCAATACAAAGCTTTTAGCAAACGCATATATTTTAAGGCCAGAAAATTCTGCTCACTGTAACATGTTGCTATTTATTTTGTAACAGGCAGCACATGTGACAATGAAGGCTCAACATTTCTGGTGGGAAGAAACACAAAAGAGGCCAATTCTCCAAACTTTGTCTAGTGTAGACAAATGCCTTGTTCTGGCTTTGACAGGGAGAAATGAAAAAGCTGCACTTGGGATAGGAGAAACTTGGTTCAACAGCAGCTCAAATAAAAAATGCCCAGGGCTTTCAGTTAACAACAAGGCTAGGCCAACAGTGTGCACTGGCAAGGAGAGGCAGGATGGTGGACTGGAGAGGTCACTGGATTTGGAGTCAGAGAATGTGGGTTCAAATCCTGGCACTTCTCTTAACTACCTGGTGTGACTAGACAAAACACAATCTCTAGCCTTAGTTTCTTCATCTGTAAAATAAGAGGGTGGGACTAAACGATGCACCTTTGAGTTCTAAAACTAAGATCCTATTAAAAATAAACGCAACTTCATAGATAAATGAGATAAATGCATGTATAATAGCGATAATATATAACATATATAATATATAATACAGATGTAATATCTATAACATAGATATATGATATCTATAATATATAATGTAAATAAATACAAGTATAAAATACAGATCAAAGGAAGTAATAGTCCAAGTACAAACTCTACCTGGAACATTACGTACCACAGAAACATTGACAGACTAGAAAACATCTAGGAGAGGGTGATCAAGAGAGGTTTGAAGATCTCAAAACCATGCCATGTGAGGGATGGCTGAAAGTAGTGGGAATCTTTAGTCTAGGGAAGTTCCCTAGTTTTAGGGAAGACATCACAGTTCTCTTCATACAGGGAAAGATTAGACTGATTCCCTGTGGATCTGATCCAAAGAGCAGAACTAGATCCAATGGGTGGCGGTCATAGAAAGGCAGATTTCAGATCATTACAATTCACATGCTACCATTTCTAGGAAGCCCTCCCTGAACACTTCCAACCCCCTGAAAAATCAACCTTTACCCCAGGTTCTGGGCTTCAAATAGCACTTTCCTTACATTTCAGAATGTCATTTTTCATATATTCCTATGTATTATAGTTATTAACATAAGTGCCACTCAATGAGATATAAATTCCATAAAGATGGGGATCAGCTTATCTAAATTCTGTATCTCCCTCAGAACCCAACACAATGTTCTGTACACAGTAAGTACTTGATAATTGAACTAAGTTGAATATAAAGAATTTTCTAACAATAAAAGCTACCCCAAGGTAACAAAACCCTAAGAAGGCTGCCTCCGGAGATGAACACTTTGTCATTGAAAATATTTAAGTAGAGGTTGGATAACCAATTGGAAATGATATTGCACCTTGATGGCACAGTAGATAGAACATCAGATTGAGAATCAGAAAGACCTGCATTTGAATCTTACTAACCACGTGACTCCGGGCAAATTAACCTCTCTTAGCCTCACTTTCCTCATCTGGAAAAAAAGATAAGAGAAGCTGCCTCACAGCTTTATCTATTATTATCTCACAAATGAGATAAATAATCTCACTATCTCACAATAAATAAAATTTATCTCACAAGTGAGATAAATAATGTATATAATGCACTTTGTAAACCTTTTATTTGTTGATTTAAAATACTTTCCCTCCAGCCCATTCCCAACCTATTGAGGAGGCAAGAAATGGGAATATGATACCCATTATACATGTGAAATTAGTCTGCAAACTTTTTAAAAGCACTATATAAATGTCAGGTGGTACAGCAGATAGAGTGCAAGGCCTGGAGTCAGAAAGACTCATCTTTCTGAGTTCAAATCTGGTCTCAGATACTTACTAGCTGTGTGACCCTGGGCAAGTAAGTCATTTAACCCTGTTTGCTTCAGTTCCTCTTCTGTAAAATGAACTGGAGAAGGAAAGGGCAAACCATTCCAGTATTGTTGCCAAGAAAACCCCAAATGGGGTCACGAAGAGTCAGACACGACTGAATAACAAAATTATTTTTATTCTTAGAATATTCTTATTATTATGTGGCTTACTTCATGGACTGGGCATTTGAACTAGCAGGCCTCTACGGTCTCTGCTAACTATAAAATCCTAAGATTATGGGATCATGAAATAATTCAGGAAGAAGATAACACTGTTATCAATATTAGCTACACATATGTATGATGGACCTAACATCTACTTGGTAGCATGCTAAGTACCAGGGTAGAAGTAGGGATTCTCCAGTCTATGAGGTTGGCATAAATTAGGAGTTCATTACATAGTCAATTGGACAAATTTAGCAAACTGTTGAGTTTGGGTCTGATTTCTGGTTCACAGAATTGGCTGGGTTCAAATTTCTATCATTAGTATTTCATGTCTGCCCTAAACTAGTTTAGCCCATCCTTCTGAACCCCAGGCATTCTCAATACATGCAGAGCTCCTTATTCAGTGCCATATCTATTAAACTACCAAAAATTATTTTATAGAGGTAGGAAAAATAATAACAAAATTCACCTGGAAGAACAAAAGGTCAAGAACATCAAGGGAATCAATGAAAAAAAGGTGAAAGAAGGTGGCCTAACCATACCAGATCTCAAATTGTATTATAAGGTGGTTACCATTAAAACAATCTGGTACTGGCTAAGAAACAGAAGGGTGGATCAGTGGAATAGATTAGGTACACAATACATTGTAGCAAATGACAATGGTAATTTAATGTTTGATAAACCCAAAGATCCAAGCTTTTGGGACAAAAACTGCTGGGAAAACTGGAAAATAGTATGGCAGAAACTAGGTATAGACCAACATTTCACACCATATACCAAGATAAGGTTGAAAATGGGTACATGATTTGGACATAAAGGATGATACCATAAGCAAATTAGGATACCATGTGGGACCACCTCCAGTCATCCCCATCTATATCTTGCCACCTGACCGAGATGATTCCAGAGGAGAAAGAGAGGCTGGTGTCCTTGCACAGCCTGCCCTCCCTCAAATCCAATTCATTTGCAAGTCACGGCATCATCTTCCTGATGTCATGATCCTCTTTAAGAATGAAGGAGAAACAACAACAACGATAACAATAAGGAGAGCGTGGAATAGTTTACCTGACAGATCTATGGATAAGGGAAGAATTTAGGAACAAAAAGCTATAGAGAGCATTACTAAATGTAAAGCAGATAATTTTGATTATATAAAATTAAAAAGTTTTTACACCAAGAAAACCAATGTAACCAAAACTAGAAGGAAAGCAGAAAACTGGAAAACATTTTTTACAGTAAGTGTCTCTGATAAGGTGGCCTCACTTTTCAAATATATAAAGAACTGAGTCAAATTTATAAAAACACTAGTCATTCCCCCAACTGATAAATAGTCAAAGGATATGAACAGGCAGTTTTCAGACAAAGAAATCAAAGCTATAGTCATATGAAAAAATGTTCTAAATCACTATGGATTAGAGCAATGCAAATTAAAACAACTCTGAGGTACCACCTCACATCTATCAGATTGGCTAATATGACAAAAAAAAAGAAAATGATAAATATTGGAGGGGAAATGATAAATGCGGAAAAACTGGGACACTAATGCCCTTGTTGGTAGAGTTGTGAATTGATTCAACCATTCTGGAAAACAATTTGGAACTATGCCCAAAGGGCTATCAAACTGTGCACACCTTTTGACTACTTTGACTACCCTACCACTACTAGGACTGTATCCCAAAGAGATTTTTAAAAAAGCGGAAAAGAACCCAGTTGCACAAAAATATTTATAGCAGCTCTTTTTGTGGTGACTAAGAACTGGAAATTGAGGGGATGCCCATCAATTGGGGAATGACTGAACAAGTTGTAGTATATTACTATAATTGAATATTATTGTGCTATAAGTAATGACAAGCCAGATGGTTTCTGAAAAATCTGGCCTTATGTGAACTGATGAAAAGTGAAGTAAACAGAACTAGGAGAATTTTGTACACAACAACAGCAAAAATATATGAAGAACGACTGCAAATGACTTAGCTAGTCTCTGCAGTATAGTGATCCAAGACAATCCCAAAGGATTCATGATATAAAATGCTCTCCGCCTCCAGGGAAAGAACTGATAGCATCTGAAGACAGAACCAAGCATACTATTTCTATCTCTTTCTTTCTTCCTTTGATCCTTCATTGCTTTGTTCCTTTGTTTTCTTCCATAAAATGACTAGTATGGAAATGTTTCACATGACTGCACGTGTATAATCTCTATTAGATTGCTTACCATGTCAGGAATGGAGGAGGAGAGGAAGGGAGGGATAGAATTTGGAACTCAAACTTACAAAAATAACCCACAATGAATGTTAAAAATTGTTCAAATGTGTAATTGGAGGAAAAAATAAAATATTATTTAAAATGGAAAAAAATGTATGCAGAGCTCCTACTTTGAGAATATTCCTCCCCCATGGGTGGAGGATGGTCCTCATCCCAGTCTACGGAGTCCTCGTCAGTCAGCACAACGATGTGGCACTCCCGTTCTCCTTTCTTGGCACTGCCCACCATGATGGGTAAGATCAGCTCCTCGAGGTAGTGATCAAACTGCTTGTGAGCTCCATCATTGGAGAGTTCATGCAGCAAAGCACCTGAGGGGAAAAAAAATGTATGTTCAAATCCTTTCTTGCACTCCAGCACTGAGCTGGCACATAACAGGTACGAAATGCTTACGGACTGACTGACTACTCACATTTGTAGAGGAAAACAGGACATGGCACAGGAACAATCTTTATGTTTTGGAGTGATAGTAGTACCTGCCTCATAGAGTGAGGCTATTATCTCACAAATGAGATAATTAATATATATGATACACTTTGCAAACCTTTTATTTGTTAATTTTTAAAAATCTTCTTTTCCAAATCCAGCCCCTCTCTTACCCATTGAGAAGGTAAGCAATGGGAATGTGACGCCCATTATCCACATGAAGTCATTTTGAAAATCTTTTTAAAGGGCTACATAAATGCTAGCAGTCTTCCTCCTCCTCCTCCTCCTCCTCCTCCTCCTACCATATCGGAAAAGGTTAAGAAGTGAGTGAGAGAACAGGAGGCGAGGAATAGAGACAACTTTTTCCAAGAGTTTGGCTGAGATGAGGGACACTGAGCATGTTTGTAGATAGTAAGGAATAAGTCAGCAAATAGGAAAGAGAGTGAAGATTAGAGAGAGAAGGGAGATAATAGCGCTGGCAATCTGCTACTGAAGAAGAAGGGATATAGGGGCTGCCCTTGGCAAGGGTAAGGGTCACTTCTTTATCAGAGAGTTGAGGAGAAAATGGTGTTGGGAGGGTGTTGTCAAGGGATTCTGAGCTACAGAGAAAGCAGGAGGGAACGCATGGTCAAAGGCCTTTATTTTCTCAATAACATATGAGGCAGGGCTTCTGCTAACAATAATAATAATAATAGCATTTATATAGTATTTTAAAGTATGCAAAGTGCTTTACAAATATCATCTCATTTTATGCCCCAACAACCCTGGGAGATAGTAGCTATTTATTTTTTTACAGATTTCATTTTACAGATCAAGAAATCATGACTGAGAAAAGTTCAGTGGTTCGACCAGGATTACACAGCTAGTGAGTATCTGAGACAAGATTTGAAGTCACATCTTCCTGATTCCAGGTCCAGTACTCTATCCACCATGCCACTTAGTTGCCATTCTAGGTGATGGATTTTATATGAGATTAGGAGCTAGGACAGTCTGAATAAGGGATAATAGATGATAATAATAGGTAGCATTTCTAAAGTACTTTTTGGTTCATTTATTTTGATTCTCACACCAACCTTGGGAGGAAAGTGCTATTTTTCTCCCCATTCTGCTGTTAGGGAAACAAGGCAGACAGAGGTTAAGTGATTTGCCCAAGATCACACAGCTAGGAGGTGGTTGAAACTGGATTAGAACAGGAGTCTTCCATATCCCAAATCCAGCAAGATTTCTACCATGCTATCTAGTTGCTAAGAGAGAAAGGACTGGGGGAGTATAGGGAGCCAAAGGAGAGAAGAGAGGATTTGGAATAGTTGTGTGGAATGAAGCAGAGGAACAATTAGGGGAGAGTAAGAGGGCTGCCTTGCTGCACTAAGGGACCAACTGAGGTGAGCTAACAAATTAAAGTAGCTTCCACCAGTATGGTTGCATGACTTCCTCCAGCACTTTTCAGCAGGACATGAGTATGACTGGAGGAAGTAGATGATACAATACGATATACAAGTCCAGTCTAAACATACCACCCTCCGGGAACCACTACATTAGTGGTCCCCTTCGAAGAATGCTACCAACCCTAGTTTCAGGGAGTTAAAGTACCCAGGGGAAGAGTCAAATGAGGTCTGGAGAAATGAAGGGACTTCCCTAGGTTAGTGCCAAACCCAACAGAAAAGTCAGAATTCCAGCTTCATATTTTAACTTATTTTCAACCCTTCTCTTCTATCATTCTACTGGATTTTTCATTTCTCATGTAATTAATGAAAGATTTATTAGCAAATTCTGACAATACCTCATAGAAGGCATTAATTACCTCCTTTTTACAGTTAGATAGGCCAGAGAAGTGAAGTCACATGTTGATTCACTGCTTTCAAACTTCCTGGCTCCTGTTTATTCTAATACCCCACAATAACTTGAATCGAGTGAAGAAACAAACTATTGTGGGAATCTGCCATCACAGATGGTTTGCAATCCAGGCTCCAGCTCAGAGTTTGAAATGGAAGACTCATTCTATTACAAGCAAATACAAGGTAACTTCAATGGGCAATTGGCAGGTAGGTAGATGGTGAAGTGGATAGACCATTGGACATGTATGTGGAAGACCTGGATTAAGATCATAACTCTACTACTTATGATCTCTATGGCCGGCTAGATGATGCAACGGATAGAGCACTAGGCCTGGGGTTAGAAAGACTTAAGTTCATCCTTAGTCTAGCCCAAGGATCACTTGGTATATCCTTACTTACCAACTTCTGGGAACCACTTATCCAACTACTCAAATCCAGTCTCAGACACTTATGGTTGTATGATCTTAGACAAGTCACTTAACCTCTGTCTGTATCAGTTTCCTCAAATATAAAATGGGGATAACAATAGCACCCACCTCCCAGTGCTGTTGTGAGGACCAAATTAAATAATATTGGTAAAGTGCCCAGCCCATTCAGTCAAGTCCAACTCTTCATGACCCCATCTGGGGTTTTCTTAGCAAAGATATTGGACTGGTTTGCCGTTTCCTCCTCCAGTTCATTTTCTAGACAGGCAGGTAGTGGTTAAGTGACTTACCCAGGGTCACACGGCTAGTAAGAGTCTGAGGTGGGATTTGAACGTAGGAAGATAAATCTTCCTGACTTCAGGCTCAGTGCCCTATCCACTGTGCCACCTCGCTGCCCTGTGTAAATCCTAGCTAGCTATTAATTCTTTGGCACTTACTCAGATCTTGACACTTGATGGTGTTGAAGTCAAAGTTAATGCAGAGATAATCACAGGTGTCTCTAAGGTCAGGGATGGAAATTCCATCAGGACAGTTAATGATCCCAGTTTTGTAATAATCCTGTAAACAGATGGGGAAAAAATGTAGACATAGAAAATAAGAAATTACCCCTTTTTCCAATTCACTATTGGTTATGTCAACATGACATTTGAATTAAGTAATGCCCAAATGGATTTGTAAGGTGGAAAAATTGCTAAAGAGCTCCCTGCTAGCCTGGCTGTTTGATCAGGCACCAGAACTTTGGGGAGAGTGAACACACACGCCAAAGGGACAGAAAGTGAGGACAAAAAAGCTGGAGCAGGTGAATCTTGAATTGAACCCTACAGGGTTATTGTATGCACTGAGGTGGAAAGTCATAGTAGCTGACTCAGCAGTTTCTGAGAAGGAAGAACAGGGTAGGCTCCTTACCAGCACTGTTCGAAACACAGTGGCACTGATCCCTTCGGCAATCTCAAACTCTCCTTTCTCATTGGGCCGGGTAAAGTTATACTCTCTTCCTGGACCAAACATCCTAAAAGACAACAGTGTTAACTGTTAACTTCCCCAGTATCACAAAGGTGACCCCTTCTTTCCTTATTCCATTACCCTACTCCATCATTCCCCGCCTGACACCAGAGGGCTCTGGGGCCAGTCTTTCAGAGAACAAAGAAAAAGAAACTGACCAGGCCCAGGAAGGCGCTGACCATGTGGGATGGTGACACTCTAAGGCCAATGGCTAATTGCTTCAGGAGCCTGGCTTATGGGGAGGAAGGGAGTGATAAATTGTCAAGGGGGATAGGGAATGAGTCTGTGGGGGGGCAGGCCCAGGCAGTGGCACGCTCACACAGGGTTGAACCTTGCTGAAATTCTTCAGGAGGTGAATTTTACCTTCTCTGTCCTTGATTCTACAAAAACCTAGCGCCGCTGTGTAGCAACTTAGGCCCTTCTCCGTAGCAAGCCCTGCGGAGGCACTCTTCTCTGGTCCTAGTCTTTCTTTCCCTGTCCATAGAAATTTACCTATCCCATGGGGCAGCTAGGTGGCGCAGTGGATAGAGCACCAGCCCTAAAGTCAGGAGGAGGACCTGAGTTCAAATCTGGCCTTGGACCAAACACTTGACACTTACTAGCTGTGTGACCCTGGGCAAGTCACTTAACCCCAACTGCCTTAAAAAAAAAAAAAGAAAGAAATTTATCTATCCCATGTCTTTTTCTAGGGGGTCCTGCTCGCTGCTTTTCTATTGAGGCAAATTGCTAATGTGTTCAAAGGATCATATAGTGTAGAGAGAGCACCCTGGTCAATAATAGAGAGCATTTATATCATGCTTTATAGTTTGTACAAGGCTTTGCTTAGCTTATTCAATCTGTACAGCAACCCTGGGAAGTGGGTGCTATTATTATCCCCATTTTACATATGAGGAAACTAAGGCAGACAGAGGTTAAATGACTTGCCCAGGGTTACATAGCTAGCAAGTGTCTGAGGCAGGATGTGAACTTGGATCTGCTCAGCTTCAAGTCCAACTCTTTCATTTTATGGAGGAAGAAACTGAGGCACAGACGGGTGACATGACTTATTCACAGTCATAGAAATAGTTAAGTGGTAGAGCTGTGATTTGGATCGAGGTACACTAACTCCAAGGCCACTAGGGGGTGCCATAGTGCACAGAACACAAGTCCTGGGGTCAGGAAGATTCATCTTCCTGAGTTCAAGTCTGGCCTCAAACACTTACTGGTTGTGTGACCCTGGGCAAGTCACTTCACCCTGTTTGTCTCAGTTTCCTCATCTGTAAAATGAGCTGGAGAAGGAAATGGCAAACCACTCCGGTATCTTTGCCAAGAAAACCCCAAATGGGGTCAGGAACAGTCAGCTACGATTGACTAACAACCACCACTAACTCTAAGTCATTTGCTCTTTTCATTATACTGCTGTTGTGTTAAAAGGAGAGAACCAGGGCCCCTCCTCTCTCCTGTCACATCTTAGTGGTGATCTTCTGGAAACTCTGCTACCCATTTGGGGTGTGGGAACCCCAAAGAGTGACTCTCGCTGTGAGAATTTCAGGCCAGGCAGTGCCAGGGCAGGTCGGCAGAAGACGCACTTGGCAGGCAGGGGCCGGCAACTGCAAAAGCTGCGTGGCTGAACTTGGACCAGCCGTGCTCTCAGTATGATCTCGGAAAGATCCAGGAACAAACAACAGGGAAGCCCGCACACTCATTCACAACCTCCCTCCTGCCCCTGTCGCGTCCTCTTAGGCGTCTCAAGTCCTTCGTTTCTGTCATTTCCGTGGTACTTCTAGGCATGGGCTGGGAAAGCTGGGGATCCAAACTCAAAGTACAGAGAAGACGGCCTGGTCCCATCTGTTCATTTCCCTTGATTCGTGAATCACAGCCGTCTCCCACCGATAATGGAGAAGGCAGCGGTGTGATCCGGTTGTTACAAGTTGTTAGCATTCATGCCTGGGCAGGCTACATTTCAAAGGTCAGAAGACACATGATCCCTGAATCACATGCTTTCCGAATCACTGCCCCGTGCACCAGGACTTCATTCCCCTTCCATGTCTTCTAAGAATGCTGGCAGTGCTCTCCTGGAAAGCTCGGGATGAGATCCAGCTGAGACACTCATTAGAATGGTCAATAATGCAAGATTGTCCCCACGGTGCTTCCAGCTTTTTTCAAGGAATCTGGGAGGTGGTCTGTGGTCTTCCTTCTCCACCTATCCATGGCCAGAATCCTCAGGGACTCCAATATTTCTACTGAGAGCACCTCTGACAAAGTAGCCCTACAATTTTCTGACCTCCTTAACTCTTGGTCCTACACAGGAATGCTTCTATCTTGACACGTCTTAGAATTAGGCAAAATATATACACACATACATATATACGTATATACGCATACATAAACGCATACATGTGTATATGTGTATGTGTATCTAAGGCTGAATTTGAACTCAGATCTTCTCAACTCTAGGTCTAGCATGCTATCCACTTAACTGTCAATGAAATTTGTTGTTCAGTCATTCAGTAGTGTCTGACTCTTTGTGACCCCATTTGGGGTTTTCTTGGCAAAGATACTGGAGCAGTTTGCCATTTCCTTCTCCAGCTCATTTTACAGATGAGGAAACTGAGGCAAACAGGGTGAAGTGACTTGTGCAGGGTCACACAGCTAGTGAGTGTCTGAGGCTAGATTTGAACTCAGGAAGATGAGCCTTGCTGACTCCAGGCCTGGTGTTCTGTGCATCATGATGCCCCCTAGTTGTCTCAAATCCTCATGTATAGAGCTTAGGTATATGTCACTCCCGCTCAAAAAATTTTCAGTGGCTTCATATAACTTACCAAGCAAAATTCAGACATCTCTACCCAGAATTCAAGTCCTGCAACAACCTGACACCGCCTCGCCCTTTTCAGCCTTATCTCATATTACTCTTCTCAGGCACTCTACACTCTATTGGACAACCCAGCCCCCCCCCCCAATCCTCCAAGTACGCACTGTGTGCTCATGGCTGTCTTCTCTATCTGGAATAACCCCCCTCTATCTCTCAGAGAGCTCTGGAATTCCTATCCTAAACCCATACTCTCCTGACAAGTGTGTGAGTGCAAACCCACATGGCCCGCTTTATCTTGACAGCCCCAGACATGTTTCTCATTCCAACCAGTCCTCTCCCCACCATCTGCTTTATCAGCCTTTCCACCTGTTCCTCAAATCAATACTGCCCTTGCTACTGGAAATACAGTGTCAATCAACTCCTCTATAATTCCTCTCAACATTTCCATAACTTCTCAAACCAAAACACCATTTCCCTCTATATCTTATCTCCCTTTATTAGTATTAAGGGCAATGTTTGACTGAATCACTCACTCGATCATCCTGCCTCCCCCCACCCCTGCCCCCACAAAGTAGCCAGCTTAACCAAGAGACCACCTCTACTGAATCAATCAAGGGTATAGACAAGCTGAGTAGTCTATACTCTTCAAGAAGTCCCTGGAAGCCAATAAATGAAATGAAGCGATGCTCCCCAAAAGGACTGAGTCCTGCCCTGCGTGTCTCCTAAAAACAATAAGACAGAGTTTGGGACGGGGACATTCCAGTTTTTAGCAGCTTATAGAAGAGGGTAGCTCTAGTCAAGCCACTGAGAAGGAATTGCCTTGAGGGGTAACGATCAAAGTCTACGTGTTCCCATTTCTCCTCTTTCCCCCAACTAGAGGATGACCTTGCAACCTTCAAAAGGTCAAAGGATTTAGACTCATCATTGACTAAGCAGTGTCCCAGGAATACCAATGACGGATGGCAGTGTCTGCATTGCATTGGGAACCAGGCTCAAACTGGACAGTCAAGAAAGGCAGCTTCAGAACTTTACAAGGGGCCCAACAGACAACCACACTGCATCTAAGGGGAATTCCTTGAGGACTCCAGCAAGGGGACCAGGAGCTGTGAGTTAAGTCCTTTGCCAGTTGCAGTCAAACTTGAACTCACTTTCCCCTGGTCTCTGTATGTACTTGTGAGAGAATGTTATAGACTTGAGGGGAATGTTTCATACTTACTTACTAAACTACCTTAGTTAATTAATGCCCCTTTCTAAAAATGAATGAAGTCTGGCTGACTAATTCATATCACTGGATAAACAATGTGGTGAGAGTCACCATCCCAAAACCCAAAGGTCCCATAAAGCCCTGAAAGGAGAAGAGGCAGCCTTATTCTCAGAACCCATACTCCCCTGCCAGTGGGAGTGGAGGTTAGGGAGAGTAGCTCCAGAGCAAATGCTACATTAGAATATCAGCTCCATGAGGGCTCATTTTTGTATTTTGCCCTTCCCCCACCCTAGCATTCAGCACAGGGCTTCACACATAGTAGCACTTGATAAATGTTTTTTCATGAATTCATTCTTGCCTAGTGAATTCTTCCCACTCTTTTAAATCCCAATTCAAATGCTAACCCCACCAACAAAGCTCTTCCTGATTGTCTGTCTGATGGGTAAAGACTTTTCTCAGACTTCTCCTAGCACTCTGTTAGACTATATGCTCCCAGAAAACTTCAATAACTGAGAGCATATAGTCTAACAGAGTGCATTCTATGACTTTGAACTCAGTGCTCTGCACACAGAATGGGTAGTTATAAGTACCACGTTCCACAGAGATGTTAGCTGCCTATAGGAAGATAACTCTCTTGATCACATAAGACGTGAGCTCTGAGTAATATTTTTTTTTAATAATAAGGGTCTTCTTGAACCCATTCCTACTCTTAAAATCACAGAATTATAGAATTTTCAGGCTGGAAGTGTCCATAGGGTCTAATTCTTTCATTCACAGATGAGGAAACTTGAGTTAAGACAAGAGATAGGACTTTTTCCAAATTCACACTGCTAATAAGTGATAGAGCTAGAATAAGAAGCCAGGTTGCTCTAATCCTGAGCCAATGTTCTTCCTACTATATAATCTAGTCTTTGTTTCACCTGAATGGCACATACTGGTAAGTCAGTTGGCCAGAGTCATAAGTAAAATCTGTGGCTACAGATCAGAAAAGAAACTAACTGGCCCACAGAAG